AGCAACTTGTGTGTTCCCCTTCCCCCAATTCCCCAGCACTGTTCCCATCCCCTCAATTCCCCAATAAAAAAATCTTAAAAAAAAAAGATATGCTAGAGTTCTTCAGGGAGAAGGAAAATTATTCTAGAAGGAAGCATAGAAATGTGGAAAGGAATAAAAGGCAAAAAAAAAGGGGTTAGATGTGCATAAGTCTAAATGAATATTGGTTATATTACACAACAATAATTGTTATTCTAAGAAGTCCACAGAAGAAAATTTATAGCTATAAATACATATATTTTTTAAGAATCTGAAAAGCAAATTTTCTATCTCAGGAAAATGGAAAAGCAGGAAAAAAAAATACCCAACTAAAGTTAAAGGAAAGAGATAATAAAGATTGAAACAATAGTGGTTAATAACATATAAATGTAGAACTGAAAAAATCAAGAAAATCTAGGGTTGGTTAATTACAAAAGATGCTAAATTAATTGTATAACCACCTAATGTGACTAATTAAGAAAATAAATAAGATAAATTACACATATCTAGAATAAAAAGTGGAACTTCACTTTGGATTTTACAGAAGATTTTATAAACAACATAATGCCAATTAAAGTTAATAGTTTAGTTGAAATGGAGGTTTTACAATTGATACTATAAACAACATAATGCCAATTAATGTTAAAAATTTAGTTGAAATGGAGGGATCCTAGGGTGATAAATTACCAAAACTCACAGAAGAATAAATAGAAAATGTGCATTTTCTAATTTCTAATAAATATATTGCATTATTAATTTAAAACCTGTTTTAGAAAGAAATCTCCAGCCCAAAAGATATCAGAGGTGAATTCTTCCAAATATTAAAGAAATAATAAATGTCAGTCTAAAACAAACTTCCAGACAATAGAAAAAGATAAAACATTTCTAGCCTAACTTTGAGGCCAGCATAACTTGGACACTGAAATGACAAAAAAAATTACAGACCAATCTTTCTCATTAGCACAGAAACAAAAAAAAATATATAGAAAGCAAACCAAAAACAGCTACATATGAAAAAAATAACACTTCATGACCAAATTGGATTTATTTAAGAAACACAAGTTGTTTTACCTTAAAAAAAATTCAACCAATGCAATTCACTAAATTAAAAAGAAAAAAAATCATATGATCATCTGAATAGATGTAGAACATGCTTTTTATAAAATTCAACACTCATTTACACTTGAAACTGTATAATCTTACTAACCAATGTCACACCAACAAATTTAATAAAAATTTTTAAAAACTTCATAGCAAGCAAGGAATAGAAGTGAATGACCTTAGCCTGCAAACCTTTTAAAGACATTATATTAATGTAAAATATTGAAATATTCTTCCTAAAGATTAGAAAGTCAGCCATCATCATTCTGTTCAATATTGTACTGGAGGTATTATCAGTTCAATAAGAAAAAATAGAACAATTAAGAAATTGAAAAGAGGAAATAAAACCATCAGTTTTCTCCGCCAATTGGGTTATACACACAGTAAATCTAAAAGAATCTATAGACCAAATATCATAAGTGACTTTAGCAAGTTCTCTGTATACAGCATCAATATACAAAAATCAATTGTATTTCTTTAAATATGTCACCAACAAATAATTGAAAAATACAATTTAAAAATGATACTATTTGTCTCTTTGATGAGGGTAAATAGGATCAAATATATGGTGATGGAAGGAAAAATAACTCTGGGTGGTCAACACACAATGTGATATATAGATGATGTATTACAGAATTGTGCACCTGAAATCTATGTAACTTTACTAACCATTGTCACCCCAATAAACTTTAGTTAAAAAAAAGATACTATTTACAATAGCATCAAAACATATCATATCTCAATGAATAAATACAATGAAAGATGTTCAAGACCTCTATACAGTTACAAAATATTATTAAAAAAATTAATGAACATCTAGATGAGAAAAAAAATATGTATATACATACACACACACATATATCATGTTGGTGAATTATAAGTTCAAAGTTTTAAATATGTAAATTCTTCCCAAGTTGTTCCACAGATTCAGTCAATTCATAATCAAAATCTCACAAAGGAATTTTGTGAAAATTGCAAACTGATTCTGAAATGCGTATAGAAATGAAAATACCCAAGAACAGCCAAGAAAATTATGAACAAAAATAAAACTTAAGGACCTACACTATCAGATATTAAAATTTATTATACTCATATACAGTATTTAAGAGTGCTGTATTCGCATGAGGATAGACAAATAAACCAAGATAACAGAATAGAGTTTAAAATAGTCCTACTTATACAGTATGTGAAGGAAAAGATAATGTTATCAATAAACATGTTATCAATAAAAAATGTGGATTGTATATCCACATGGAAAAAAATGAATTTTGATCGTCTACCGGACACTATACACAAATCAACTGCAAGTCAATTATAGCTCTGAATATGACAAGTTCTAGAATAGTACATACAAAAATATTTTTATGAACCTGGGGTAGGCATTGATTCCCTAAAAAGGACTAAGAAAAGACTTTATCATTTCACAAGAAAAAAAGATAGATAAATTGGACTAAATTAAAAGTAAGAACTTTTGTTCAAAAAGCATCATTAGACAATGGAAAATACAAGCAAAAAAAAGGGGGGGGGGAAATATTTGCAATACATATATCCAAAATAGAACTCCTATTCAGAATGCATATAAATCAATAAGATAAAAGAAAGAAAACTCAGACCGATTAACATGAAAACACTCTCAAGCTCATTAGCCATCAGAGAAATACAAAATTGAAACCACAATATTATTACATACCCATCAAAGTAGCTACTGAAAAACTATAGAGTAACTGGAACTAACATATATTGCTGGTGGGGGTATACATTTACATAACCACTTTGGAAAACTTCACAAATTTTCTACTACAGCTAAGCATATGTATATTCTAAGATCTAGCAATTCCACTCCTAGTTGTACAACTAAACACACAGCAAAACTTGACAAAAATTTTCTTAGCAGATTTAGTCAGATAGCCTGAAAATGGGAAGCAAATGATATCTATCAAAAGCAGAATGAATAGTGTAGTGTATTTATACAACGGATTATAACATAGAAGTGAGAAAGGACAAATTGCTCCAACATGCAACAGCATAAATCTCACTAACATGATGCTGAGTGAAAGAAGGCAGGAAATATTATAGTGTCATCCCATTTATATAAATTTCAAAGACAGGCAAAACTAACCCAAAGCAATAGATGTCAGGATGGTGGTTACTTTTGCAGTATGGATGCTAATGAACAGAGAGAGAGCACAGTGAAGGGTTTTGTTTTGCTGATTATATTTATTTCCAGATATGAGTGACTGTATTCACTTTGTGAAAATTCATCAAGATATAGGCTTTTAAAAAATTTATTAAATTTATTGGGGTGACATTGGTTAGTAAAATTATATAGGCTTCAAATGTACAATTCTATAATATATCATCTATCTATTGCATTGGGTGTTCACCACCCAGAGTCAGTTGAATATACAGTGATGGAAGGAGAAGATATATTCTTTGTGTGTTTTTCTGTATTTAAATTTTACTTCAATTTAAAAATATACAATTGGATGAATAAGTAAATAAATAGTAGCACATGGTAATGTTTATAAAAATTCAGGTAAAAAACACACGACATGAGATCTACCTTATTAACACATTTTAAAGTGTATGGTACAGTATTGTTAACTCTAAGCACAAGGTTGTACAGCAGATCTCTATAAATTTTTCATCTTATATGATTGAAAGTTGATACCCATTGAACAATAACTCCCCATTTCTTCCTCCCCTTAGTCCCTGGCAACCATCATTCTATTTTGTGCTTTGATAAATTTGACTACTTGAGAACGTAATATAAGTGGAATCATGTGGTACGCGTTCTTCTGTGACTGGCCTATTTCATGTAGCATAATATCTTCAAGTTTCATCGATTTTGTAGCATGACAGAATTTCCTTCTTTTTTATGGCTGAATGATTTCCCATTATATGAAAATGTTATATAATCTTTATCCATTCATCCATCCACGGACATTTAGGTTGTTTCCATCTCTTGGTTATTGTGAATAATGTTGCAATGAACATGGGGGTGCACATATCACATAGAGATTCTGACTTCAATTATTTTGGATAAATACCCAAAGTGGGATTGCTGCATCATATGGTAGTTCTACTTTTAATTTTTGAAGGAACCTTCATACTGTTTTCCATAGTGGCTGTGCCATTTTACATCCCCACCAGCAGTGCACAAAGGTTCCTACTTCTCCACATCCTCACCAATGCGTATTATTTCCTGGGGTTTTTGTTTTGTTTTGTTTTGTTATAATGTCTAGCCTAACAGGTGTGAAGTGGTATCTCATTATGGTTTTGATTTGCATTTCCCTGAGGATTAGTGATGTTGAACTTCTTTTCATATACTTGTTGGCCATTTGTATGTCTTCTTTAGAGAGAGGTGTATTCAAATCTTTTGCCTATTTTTTTAATCATTAGGTTATTTGATTTTTGGCTATTGACTTGTAGAAATTCTTTTAATATTTTGGATATTAACCCTTTAGCAGATATATGGTTTACAAATATTTTTTTCCCCATTCTTTAGGTTGCTTTTGTACTCTGTTCATTGTTTCCTTTTTTGTGTAGCAGCTTTTTAGTTTAACTTTAGTTTAGTTTTAAGTAGTCTCACTTATCTATTTTGCTTTTGTTGCCAGTGCTTTTTTTTTTCTTAATTGAAATTTCTGTCTGGGGCATTGTGACTCGTCTCCTTCTGTAACAGCATCCTTTTTCTACAAATAATTTGGAGGCTGAATACACATTATTTGAATTATTTTGCTATGCTTTTGCACATACACTACTTGGCCTAGATTAGCTACAAAAACAAAATTAGCAACTTATTTTTTGACCCCAGTAACCAATGTCCTGCTTCTGAGGACATCACTCTCAGGAGGCAAGTGTCATATTGTTTGAAGGGCAGCATGTCAGTCAAGCCTCAACAGAGTAAGTCAGTGAAAACTGATGAAATTTAGTATTTCCTCCCAAAGGAAAAGCTGATGGTTAAGATACAAATATTCTATTTTTTTGTTTGTTTGTTCTTCCTAGGAACACATGTATAATTTCAAACTTCACTCAAATGAATCCTCCTGGTCAAAACCTGAACAATTGTGAGCTACAAATTCTATCGTTAGCTGACATTTCTATATTGTATTTTCCTCATTTTTGTTTCAGTGGATCAAAATGTAATAAAGCTAAAACATGAAATGACTAGGTATCAGCCCCATTAACTTTCCCAATAGTTTTGCTCTCAGGAAGTCATTTCAATTCATCCCTTCTTATAATCTCTTCCTCAGGCGAGTGCTCCAATACTTCAGTCACTTTGCTCCTGACATATCACGTGACTGTGAAATTCCCCCCAGCCCATTTCAGCACATCTGGCACTGGATGACCGAGCTGCAGGATTTGAGGTTAGTGCAAGCAGATGTGAGGATAAGCATAACTAGTAAAAAGAGGGGTCACTTTGGTGGCTATCGTATAGTAACTAGTGGTAGTGATAAAACCTGAAATTATGCCTTTTTCAGTTTGGCTACCAAAAATGAAACAGGGTTCAGACTCTACTTATGGTGCTCTCTGAGCAATTCAGAAAATAGGATGAGGCTCTTTTACACCATGAAGAAAGGCCAAGTTCATTATTTATGGACGAAAATCTGTATCAATGCAACAATTACAAAATGTAAGGAACAACTTAGGTTTAGTTAGGGTTTGATTATTGAATCCCAGCTATACAATTCTACATTAAAATATTTTGTATTTAAATAGTATTTCCTACCTTTAATCATGCATCCACATATTGGGGCTAATGGTTTCTACCTTACTCACTACACAGGATTGTGGAAGTGATAATAACAGGCACCTTTTATAGATAGCCTATTATGTTTAAACTCTGTGTTAAATATTTTATCTCTATGAGATAAGTAATATTACAGAACAATGAAAAATCTGAGACCCAGAGAAGATAAGAGCTTGCCCAAGATCATATGGCCTGTTAGGGGCAAGGAAAGACTTTTAAATCATGTTTGTTTTATATGCAAATCCATGACCTTAACTATTACCTCACAGAGATCTAATAATGTAATAGAAATGAGTGCTTTGAAAGTTATATGTCACTAAATTAACTGAAGGGTCATATCTGATAAAGTAAAAGGGACATCGTACATGAACCTGCCTTTGAAATATTTGAGACCAGAAGTTTGAGAGTTAATACTCTTATCACAACAGAGGCTTCTGATCTGAGTTACCAATATAACAGAACAACAAGGACTCTAATAATACAGCTATAGCAGTATAAAACTGTTTTAAAAATGTTTTAAATGGCTGCCGGCAGGTATGGGAGTGGGAATAGAAGTGGAATAACACATCATGAAATACACTTATTGATACCTCAAATTAACAAATAGGTATTTTAATCAAGGCATCAGGTCATAGTTAATTGAAAATTCTAAGTGTAGTACTAAGGTACTAAAATAGTGATAACTTCACAAAATCTTACATTCAGAATTTATAGGCAATTCAGGATCAACACACTCATCCCCCCAAGTTGAGAAGAGTGTTAGCTGCTGAGGTTCACAGCTGAGTGCCTCTCTCCAGGAACCTGCCTTGACCAAAACTCCTTCGCCTGTCCGTGCAACCTGCATCCAATGACTGGTTAATGTCGTGGTGAAAAAACTCAGCACACCTCGCTTCAGTGACAAGAGAGAAAAAGGGGTCAAATATATGGTGATGGAAGGAGAACTGACTCTGGGTGGTGAACACACAATGTGATATACAGATGATGTATTACACAATTGTACACCTGAAACCTATATACTTTTACTTATCAATGCCACCTCAATAAATTTAATAAATAAAAAAAGAGCTGGTCCAGCTCCAGAGCTCCCCGTAGGATCAGTGGAGGCCTCTGTTATAACTGAGTCTTCGTTCAACTCTCTTTGCCTAATTCTGGGTCCCTCACCCCTCCCTGGTTGGTCCCTAATAAACTTTTTCATACAAATCTCAGAGTTTTGGGGACTATTTTTTGGGGAACCTGGCCTATTGCAATGATTAACCCCAAACCGTCCTCTAGTCCACTGCTTATGGTTTCTGTAATTATTACAAAATATGCACCCTTTTTCCATTTTCCCAATATCCAGTGATGCAGCAATAATTCAATTTTACACGGAGTTCACGGTACTTTGTGGAAATTCTGAAAATTTGATTTTATTTTAGTGCCTTCATACTACATTTAGATTCCATACATAATGAGACTATCACATTGAAAAATTGTAGACCTTATGGCTAAAATAATTTTTAAAGACTATAATTATCAGCTTGGAAAATGTGTTTCTACCAAACAAATAGTTTTAAGTTATAAACAACAAACATTAGTACCAAGAGGCTATGTCCCTCTAACTTGTCAGCAGTTAAATGAGCTTTTTCCATTCTTTCTTGAATGAAATATAAAATCTAGGCTATGGAACGAAAGTAATCCCCACTGCTTTATAAATCTATAAAAAGTAATTTGATAAGAAGCAATGATTTGTGGTACTTATAGAAGAACTTATACTGAATTGTATCACAACCTTCACTTTAACAAAAAAAAAAAGACATTTATTAAGCACCTATGATGTCCAAGGCACTCATCATGGTTCTGTAGAGACAAATAAGATTATTTTAGATGTAGATGTTTGCTGACTTAACTGTCACTTACTTTTTTCATAAGCCCACAATTAGTTGGGAAGAAAGGCAAAATGAAAAGTGATACATATAGGAGGCACACAGTGACTCAGTCCATAAGTATGTTTGTTAACAAGACAAATGTAAGGATGAACCAAATGTCACACAATTAACACTTTTATCCTCAACATATAATGTTCTATTGCATGTATTGAGGTAGTAAGGTTATAGTACAACCAGGAAAATGATTACAAATATGTCGTCTCTCAGGCCTGCATGCTGAAAGGGAGGAAATTATGCCATCACTGATATTAAAAGAATTCTATCTTTTCAAGAGATTTTCTAATAAATTTTATTCAATTCTAGGTATAAGCAGATAAAGAGCCTTATGAATGAATATGCTGAAATAGCACTGTAAAATGCACACACAGTTGTATATAAATCCTATCCTATAGCACATCAAAATTACTCTTTTTCCCCCCCTGCTTTTCCTGTTTCAGTGAAAGGCACCACCATCTGCTTAGTTACTCAAGTTAGAAATCTGGAAATCAAGTTTTCTGCCTCTCTGTGCCTTGCCCCATATAGCCAACCAATAAATTAATCTAATCTACAGTACCCCCTGCTATGTTAGCTCTTAAATCATGTATTCTCAGCAGGGGTGATATCAATCCCAGGGGAGTGAAAATTGGTTCTTGGGGAGAAGGGGAGTGATGGCTAATCTTATATGTCAACTCGGCTAGGCTATGTTGCCAGGTGTTTGGTCAAACACTAATCTAAATGTTGCTATGAAGGTATTTTTTTAATGATTAATATGTATAGTTGGCTGCATTTAAGTAAAACGAATTACACTTCATAATGTGTAGGCATAACCCAATACATTGAAGGCCTTAAGAGCAAAGGCTAAAGAAAGAATTCTGCCTCCAGGCAGCAACACAGAGATTCTTCCTGAGCCTCCAGCCTGCTGGCCTGCCTGACAAATTTCAGACTTGCTAGCCCCCCCGCAATAATCTCCTGAACAAATTCTATAAAATCAATCTCTCTCTCTCTCTCTCTCTCTCTCTCTCTCTCTCTCTCTCTCTCCCTCCCTCCCTCCCTCCCTCCCTCCACACCCTGACTAATACAGAGAGTGAAAAAATATTTTCTGTATAAAACACAGATATACATACTGTACAAAAATATATATTCAGTATATTCAGTATCTCTATGATATTAAAATTTCATTAGGCAGGAGGTTGGTTAGGACTAAAATGTCTAAAGAGTCTCCTGGTCTCCTGGGGTGGGGGGAGGAGTGTGATCATGGAAAGATAGTGAAGAAACACTATACTAATATTTCTTAAAGTATGTCCTCTACTCTCTATCTCTTATGCCACTGCACTAGGATAGCATATTATTTATTATCAAGAGGATTGCTTCTTAAAGGCTCTCTCTGGGCCTATCTTAGGTTCCCTCAAATATATCTTGCACACAATCTAGCAGATCTATGTAAAATGCAAATTGGATCATATCTCTCTCTTGTTTAAAATAACCCTGATGGCTCTGGGCTTGGGAACTTCTCATCTCTGCTTCCATAGAAAACCACAGGCAGGGCAAATGTCTTTTCATCATTTCATAGAGAAAGGTACTGAGATCCAGTTAACTCAGTGACTTACCCAAAGTTGTACAATTTGCAACAACAATCTCAGGATTTTTAAACAACATTCCACAATCCAAATTTCCAGTTTCCTTAGGAGAACATGCTGTTTTGGCATTAGGCAGACCAACATCTGGACACCATCAGCATCTACTTATGAATTTATGTGAATCTGAGCAAACGACTACTTTAGAGAGCCTGTTTCTTGATCAGTAAAACATAGGCAATATCCTCCTCTCAAAATTGATATTAGGATTAATGAAACTAGTTAAACATAGATGTATATGTACGTGTGTGTGTGTGTGTGTGTGTGTGTGTGTGTGTGGAGGGTGCCAAAAAAATGTATACACATTTTAAGAAAGGAAAAAAACGGCATTAATTGTAACACTCAATATATACTGATAACAAAAGATGAACACAAGTCACATTTGACTTCTGCAATTACAAGAGTTGCTCAAAGTGGTTACCATCAGCATCCAGGCACTTCCAATTATGGCGAACCACTGCTTAAGCATAGATAACATCTATTAAAATGTGTGTATATTTTTTTGGTACCCCCAGTGTATATGGACAAAGAGAGAGAGACACACACACACACACATGGAGTGAGCCTTCTGTGTCATGTTTGGCATTTTGGTAGTTACTGAATAAATAGGTGAAG